AAGAATACATATTCTATTCATACGAATCTATCCTAAAAATGTTGTCGGCATTAAATAACCCATTGAGGTTGATATGCCGTAAACAAAATAAACCAAACCAATCACAAACCAAAGAATACATATTCTATTCATACGAATCTATCCTAAAATGTTGTCGGCATTAAAAAACCCATTGAGGTTGATATGTAAAACATAATAAACCAAACCAATCTAAACCAAAGAATACATATTCTATTCATACGAATCTATCCGAAAAAAACAAAATGATATGCCGTAAAACAAAAATAAAACCAATCTAAACCAAAGAATACATATTCTATTCATACGAATCTATCCTAAAAATGTTGTCGGCATTAAATAACCCATTGAGGGTTGCCAAAAACAAAATAAACCAAACCAATCTAAACCAAAGAATACATATTCTATTCATACGAATCTATCCTAAAAATGTTGTCGGCATTAAATAACCCATTGAGGTTGATAAAAAAATAACAAACCAATCTAAACCAAAGAATACATATTCTATTCATACGAATCTATCCGAAAATGTTGTCGGCATTAAAAAATGTTGTCGTAAAACAAAATAAAACCAAACCAATCTAAACCAAAGAATTATTCTAATAACCCTAAAATGTTGTCGGCATTAAATAACCCATTGAGGTTATGCCGTAAAACATAATAAACCAAACCAATCTAAACTAAAGAATACATATTCTATTCATACGAATCTATCCTAAAAATGTTGTCGGCATTAAATAACCCATTGAGTTTGATATGCCGTAAAACAAAATAAACCAAACCAATCTAAACCAAAGAATACATATTCTATTCATACGAATCTATCCTAAAAATGTTGTCGGCATTAAATAACCCATTGAGGTTGATATGCCGTAAAACAAAATAAACCAAACCAATCTAAACCAAAGAATACATATTCTATTCATACGAATCTATCCTAAAAATGTTGTCGGCATTAAATAAACCGATTGAGGTTGATATGCCGTAAAAAACAAAATAAACCAAACCAATCTAAACCAAAGAATACATATTCTATTCATACGAATCTATCCTAAAAAATGTTGTCGGCATTAAATAACCCATTGAGGTTGATATGCCGTAAAACAAAATAAACCAAACCAATCTAAACCAAAGAATACATATTCTATTCATACGAATCTATCCTAAAAATGTTGTCGGCATTAAATAACCCATTGAGGTTGATATGCCAAAACAAAATAAACAAAAATAAACCAAAGAATACATATTCTATAAAAAATGTTGTCGGCATTAAATAACCGATTGAGGTTGATATAAAACAAAAATAAACCAAACCAATCTAAAATACATATTCTATTGTCGGCTATTAAAATGTTGTCGGCATTAAATAACCCATTGAGGTTGATATGCCGTAAAACAAAATAAACCAAACCAATCTAAACCAAAGAATACATATTCTATTCATACGAATCTATCCTAAAAATGTTGTCGGCATTAAATAACCCATTGAGGTTGATATGCCGTAAAACAAAACAAAAAAAACCAAACCAAGAATAATATTCTATTCATACAAAATCTATCCTAAAAATACATATTAAATAATTCAAACCAATCTAAACCAAAGAAATTCTATTCCTAAAAAAATGTAAAACAAAATAAACCAAACCAATCTAAACCAAAGAATACATATTCTATTTGAATCTATCCTAAAATGTTGTCGGCATTAAATAACCCATTGAGGTTGATATGCCGTAAAACAAAATAAACCAAACCAATCTAAACCAAAGAATACATATTCTATTCATACGAATCTATCCTAAAAATGTTGTCGGCAATAAATAACCCATTGAGGTTGATATGCCGTAAAACAAAATAAACCAAACCAATCTAAACCAAAGAATACATATTCTATTCATACGAATCTATCCTAAAAATGTTGTCGGCATTAAATAACCCATTGAGGTTGATATGCCGTAAAAACAAAAATAAACCAAAAATCTAAACCAAAGAATACATATTCTATTCATACGAAAACCAAAAATGTTGTCGGCAATAAATAACCCATTGAGGTTGATTAAAACAAAATAAACCAAACCAATCTAAACCAAAGAATACATATTCTATTCATACGAATCTATCCTAAAAATGTTGTCGGCATTAAATAACCCATTGAGGTTGATATGCCGTAAAACAAAATAAACCAAACCATGGTTAAATAAGTGCTTCGTTTTAGAATTCGTGAGTGATTACTTCTGCAACGAATTCCGTTCTCACATTTGTCACTTCAAGTCAGATTAAGCATAACAAATATAATTTCGATCTTCATGGCGGAAACACGATTTAATCTCTTTATTTGTCGTTCCTCTTCAGGACGTAAGGGATCATGGTCCTCCACATCTTTCTGTCACTTGTAGTTTTTAATGTTTTGTTTTTTTGCTATTTCTCCCAAACCCTATTCTAACATTCATTTACTCAAGCCCACCAAATTGTCTCTTGAGTATCAGATTTTGGAAGCCATCCTCCCGCATTATATGTCCCAGAAATTTCAACTGCCTCTTCTTGATGTTAAGTATAAGGGTCCTTTTTGTTTCCATTTACTCTAAAATTTTGTCGTTGCTATTCAGTTTATAGTATCGTCAGCATCTTTCTGTAGAACCAAATCTTTCTTTAAGCTTCATTTTCATCTTTGGGGAGATTGTCCAACATTCACTGCTATATAAGAGGACAGATATCACGTAACAGTTTAGTAATCTTTTCTTTGGTTCTAACGAAGTTTTTCTCTCTCTTAATACTCTGCTTAGCTTTTGGAAGGCATCTTTGGCCATCCCAATGCGACTAGACCAGTTTTTAAGAATGATGGGTTCGATTCTTGCTGGATGCCTCATTACTATGGTCTTGTATCGATATTTGAGCAACTATTGTATAGTGTTTGTTAGAACGCTTGGCGTGTTCGATCACTCGTCAGTACAGTGATTTCGATCATCATGGAATGCTATACATATGTGATCTTGGTCAGACTTAGGTGCAGGGATTAGACAAAAGAATGTAAACACCTGGCTTAAACATTTATTGAATAATGATGTTGAGCTTCTAAAACTGCTTTGATTCTATGTGGAATCGAATCAAATAAGTTTTGAATTGTTTCCAGTGGAATTTTATGCAAATTCTTCAATCAAAATCTAGGAAAGTTGCTTCAGCGACAATGGAGGAGGAAATCTGTTTTTCACTCTCTGCTGTATTACTACTACCCATAATGGTTCAATTTTTTGAGATCAGGTGATTGGGCCGGCCATGGAAGATATTTAATTATATTATGATGCTCATAAATCCATTTTTGAAGTGTGTGTGGATGCATTATCATCTTGGAATATGACACTTTCTAACAACAGTTTGGTAATCATTATAAGGACATTGCCATTGATAATGTCGAGATATTTATCTGCAGTAATTCTACCATTAAGAGTGATGATAGGACCAGAAGAATACCAGAAAATTGCCAACCAAATCATTACTGAGGCACACCCATGTTTGATTGTTGGGGCTAGGCAATCCGGATTATAAGCTTCACCTTGTGTTCTCCAGACATAAACACACTCGTTTGTGGGAAAGAACGTGAAAGAAGACACATCAGACTAAATAACATTTTTCCAATCTCGAGTGTCCATTTATTTTTGTGATCATCACACCATTTTTTTCTCAACTTGGCATTCGATTTTATGAACAGAGGTTTAAGAATCGCAGACCTTCCGTAGATACCAGCTTTGTGGAGCTCCCGATGTACTGTGCGTGTAGAAAATGTATTGGTAAAGGTGAGTAAATGAATTCTAATGCCACGTTTGCCGTAATTGCTTGATGATTTTTTGCCACAATTCGTTTTAAAGCCCGTCAGTCTCTTTCGGTCAACTTTGGTTTCCGTCCACGATTACTCTTTGCCTTGTTTTGTGTAAGCTGCCATAATCGTGGACACTACAGCTCGTGACACATAATAATAATTCAGACGTTTTGGTTACAGATACTCCCGCTAATCGACCATCAATTATTTGTCCTCTTCGAAAATCTGACAGGTCGAGCATTTTAGTATGTAACTTTTTTTTACCTGAAGATAAATGATGACTTAATTACGTGGAAAAGCAAGGTAGATGATTAAAGTAGTGAGCAGTTACCTTTGCATAAAAGGTAACTGCTCACTACTTTAATCGGTTGGATGTTTGTTAATACCCGGAAATGCCGGAATTGAAAAAATGCTATTTTTGCAAGCTGTTCACATAATTTTGTGTAACCCCTGTATGGTTAGGAAATAAAATGAAATAAAAGCGTCTGTTATTAACGTTAGAAGAACCGACTAGGAATGATAAGCTTGGGAAATAGAGAAGAATAGAGAGAGATTAAGAGAGAAAGGATAGTGAGAAAGGCTAGAGGAAGAAGAACAGTAAGTGGGGGGAGGTAGAGGATTAAAGAAGACGAGAAAGAGGGTGAAAGAAGAGAACAGAAGGAGAGTGAGGGAGATGGGGACGGGAGATGTGAGAGAGGGGAGGTATGGGGAGACAAAGACAGATGGAATAGATAAGATGAATAAAATAGAAAAACCCAGGTAATAGGTAGATGAATTGAAAGAGAAATGAGAATGAGGTTGAGATAGATAGACACGCGCGAGCGCACACACACACACACAGATAGATAGATAGAGTGATATTGAGATAGATAGATATAGAGAGATATTGAGATAGATAGATAGATAGATAGATACAGAGCGAGTGAGATTGAGATAGAGTCATATTGAGATAAAAAGATAGATACAGAGAGAGAGAGAGAGAGAGAGAGAGAGAGAAAGATTGATATATATATATATATATATATATATAAAGAGAATGAGATAGCTAGCTAGATACACACACACACACACACAGAGAGAGAGAGAGAGAGAGAGAGAGAGAGAGAGAGAGAGAGAGAAAGTGAGATCGAGATAGATAGATAGATAGATAGATAGATAGATAGGGTGAATGTTATTTAGATATATACAGAGAGATTGAGATAGATAGTGATATTGAGATAGATAAATAGATAGATAGAGAGAGGTTAAGATAGGAAGATAGATACAGAGAGAGAGAGAGAGAGAGAGAGTGAGATACAGAGAAAGATAGGGAGAGAGATTGAGATAGAGAGAGATACAGAGAGAGGGGGAGTGATATTGAGATGGTTAAATAGATAGATAGATTTAGATAGGGAGATAGATACAGAGAGAAAGAGAGAGCGTGAGAGAGAGAGGGGGAGAGAGAGGGTGAGATACAGATAGAGAGGGAGAGAGACTGAGATAGAGAGATAGATACACACAGAGAGAAGGAGAGAGCGATATTGAGATAGAGAGATAGATATAGAGAGGAAGAGAGAGAGAAGAGAGAGAGAGAGAGAGGAAGAGAGAGAGAGAGGAAGAGAGAGAGAGGAAGAGAGAGAGAGAGAGAGAAGGACAATGAGAAAGAGAAAATAGAAAACAACAAAGAAATCAACTTATAACAATACAGACATTCTCATTTGTAAATCAAACAGAATGCTTTCATTCAAAACATACATCCTTTGTACGTTTGAATAAACATGAAAAGGGATCATCACTGAAGCAATGTTGTTATATGATGCATGTGAATTAATCACATACTTTTATGTAAATAGATGAAAATAATTAATATAAAAGATGGATCTCAGAGTTGAATGAAAGGATTGTCTATGGCTGCATTTTAGAATTTCATTATTTCTTTTACCTGATTAAATAAATTTAAGTTATTGTGTTTATCGCTTTGAAAATTAGCGGTAAACTTTTAAAAAGTTTAATAAAATTGTACGTTCGTGATTTCGCTTTGAAAATATTAAACATTCTTTAGAGAACAACATGGGAAAAGGAAAGATCAAGTTCGGCATATGATAAAAATAATATTAGATTTTTTCCTTATAAGGTATCATTTAATTACTAAGCAGTTTTTTACTATTGTTGGTTAAAATCTATAAAATATTTCTCTTAAAATAATTTCCCCGAAAATAGGTCTTTCAAGTCCATTAGTTTTTTTTTTAATTAATACACCACAAGCAATGCGGTAACGTCACTAAGACACACTGAGATCTACTGGCAGTAAAAAAAGAATGAAAAGTCTTTAGAAGGAACTAGAAAACCAATCCTAAGCGGGAAACAATCGATAAACCTCTACTCCTGTTCAAAAGACTGGGGAGGAGAGCGAACTGGGCGATAGGAGAACCTATTCTATTTGTTTCCAGTATAAATGGGGATTTTATTACAACCCTTTGTTTTGTAGTAGTGTGGAATGTCAACATCGCCATTTAACTTTGAAAATTACTGGGTTTTAAAGACACAGCTAAAATGACAAATGACGTCATATATTAAGAAATGGACAAAGTCCGACAATTTATTTATTAAAGACATTTTTATGTTTAACGTTCTTTTGTTTACATTTGATACGCCAGAGCAGTTATGAATGTACGAGATTCATGGAAGATTGAAGTTTATAAGCAGTAAATTCAACCTTGCCAACCGAACGCTCCTTTGTGGCCGATCGGTCAAGGCACGTCAGCTGTAAATGACGGTTCCGTATAGGATGCAGGTCCGAATCCTGTCAAAGGACGAATATTTTCTATGAAAAATTTGTCGGACATACGGTAAATGTTATTTAATACTGTTTACTATAAACAGAGCATTTACTTAAATACTTGTATCTATAAAAAGAACGTTAAACATAAAAATGTCTTTAATAAATAAATTGTAGGACTTTGTCCATTTCTTAATATATATATATATATATATATATATATATATATATATATATATATATATATATATATATAACACATATGTATTGAGTGTAACAGCAAAAATTCTTAGATTAAGCTTTTAAACCGTTGTATCTTAGAAATGATTTTACTGGAATTTTACAGTATTTTTAAAACATTACTGTACTCTACTTAAGAATATATAATTACTCTCAAGCTTAGTAGAAGACACGTGATGAAATCGGTCATAAACGAAAATATGTTATCAATAATTAATCTTAACTCATGAAGGATCGAAATAAATTATATATATATATATATATATGTGTGTGTGTGTGTGTGTGTGTGTGTGTGTGTGTGTGTGTGTGTGTGTGTTATTCCAGGATCATTTTCCAACTTAATCAGGATGATCTTCGTCCTCTAACCATCTAACCTTTTCTTCTGGAGTAACAAATTGCCTCAGTTTTCACGTACGGTTTCATTTTCAAGTTTGTTTTCACTGCTGTTTGGACTGTCATAGTTGAAACTTCTCTCTCACGTACCAAAAGTCTTATGGATTGAGTTGGATCTTTTCTAATTGATCTCTTTATCTCTAAGTTGAAATGATAATCCCTCTTGATGTTGTGACCTTCTGATCCAGTTTTCCTCTCTACTGTTCCCTCTTTTTTAAACTTATTCACCGTTCTCTTGATAGTTCTTGAATGAACTTTGAAGATGAAAGCCAGAGTATGAATGCTGGTACCATTACTGAAGGCCTGTATGATTTTTTTTCCTCTCAATATTGTATCAGATGTTCGGAAGTGAATGTCAGCATTCCCTTATAAATAAACAGGGAGATAGATAAGGAGATCCTGATATGTATTTAGCCGTACGCCCACCCGAACGGAATGTATCCCAAGTACCACAAACGGATTGTAGCTCAATGCACTCAAGACTTTCCCTTTTGGGAACGCCTCATGCGCCATGCAATGGCAATAATGAACATGCAATAGCTCTTCCACGGGAGAAGTATAGCCTGGGGAGAAGGCTCCTTCATGACAGTTAATAAGCGCCCCTCCAAAAACAATTCGATAAGTTATAAGAAAGATAAAGTCTCTCAGCGAAGTTTAGAAGAAACTCATTATATGAACAGATTGAAATAAATATAAACTGATTAAAAAAAAAAATCTAAAAGAGTCGAGCAGAAAAATGTCGGCATAAAAATTAACTGCGATTGCAACGACAAGCTGAAGAAGACTGATAAAAATTGTTTTTTTAAAAAAAATTTCCTTTGTTTCTTAATTATTGTTATGGATAGGATAAAAAAAAGATGAAAATAGATGGCGCGATATGAACAGATTGAGATTGCAAAGGAGATCGATTTAAATATGAGCAAAACATGTGTAGATAAAACACTGTGCAGTCTCTGCCGATAATATAATGGCAATCTTAACTGGGCTACTCGAGTTATGCTTTCCTTCTGGACCGAAACATCGGATGAGGATCAGAGTGTAGTACCTGCTTTCAGGCAGATAAACGACACTTTATCTTTCAATTGCATTTTTATCTTCGTGCAGAGCGCAACTAAAAATATTGAGAAGTGCTCGGGGAACAACTGCCAGCGGTAGTACCTCCCTCATTGCACGAAAAAGGGGAGTGAACGGTAACAGTACCGATAATAATAGCGCAACCAACGGTTACGGGGATTGGGATATTTTGGGATCTGGCCCGAGTGCACGCGCTCCTCTGACCTTATGTCGCACTCTGCCGGCGTGGGGCGTCAAATAAATACAATCTGTCTTTGGGCGGACAAATTTTATCATGCATTATTTATATTATCCAGACTGTTATCCTCATCTTCATTGCCATATTCACAACGTTTCGGCCATTGAACGCTCCGGCCTTCAGGTGGTTTTAATTTCGAACCGAATACTTTATTTTCGTCCTTAAGTCCCAGTGGATAAAGACGTTGGTTAGATCCAGTGACTAGACCCAAAGATATGTGACTTCAATACCAGGCCATAGCAGTGGTGAACCCAGACTTGGAGAGTTGAGTTAAAGGGAAATAACTGAGACACCCAGAAGAGGCATGGCACGTGGAACTAGAACAATCTACACTGGCATCTTTCGATATTCCAACGTACAGGGTCCAGCAGAAATAACTCCCAGAAATACCGACTGCCTAATGTTAAGACATTATTGACAGTGTTATCTTCAACTGGGTAATTTCTTATTTCATTTTGTGGGAGGTATTTCTGGGAGGTATGTGTGGGAGGTATTTCTGCCACTCCCTATACCGGGTTTAACTGCAAAATTGTCTAAATCAAATCATAATTATCCATCCCACAAAATGTTTAATATCTAATCATCTGGCACTATTTATCGTAAGAATTACTGAAAAACCTTTTGAGTTCAGCTAGAAAGAGAACAGGAGAAAATCTTTTGTGTCAACCCCACTATGTCTTCCCAACTGAGCAATGGTGAGAGGAAAAGGTTCATTGAGGCTTTCAGTACCAACATTTATACGCTGGCTTCCATCTTGAAAATCCATTCAAGAACCATTAATAGAATGGTGAATAAGTTTTACAAAGAGAGAGAACAGAAGAGAGGAAAACTGCAACAGGAGGTGACAACAGGAAGAGGGATCATCATTTCAACACAAGACTTTGTTATTGTTCAAAGTAGAGTCTAATAGTGTTAAAATCTTGGACAATTCTAGTAAGATATTTTTAATCATTTCTGAGATACAACGTTTCAAAGCTTAATCTAACAATCGGACAATTTTGTTGTTACATCTGGTATATTCAGTTTTCTGAGTCATAATTTCCGTTCTTTGTTAAAACACTTCACAAATCTGTGCTTGCTTCCTTCTTACATTCGTTACCCGCATCTTGGGCTGTCACTGTAAAGACCAGTCTTTGTTTAATTGTCTACGGTATCATCTGCTTATCTTATGCTTACACCCACTAATAATAAATCCTGGTAGGATATCTAGTTGTATTCAAATCTTCTAGCTGTACAGGTTAAATAAATCCAGCGAGAAGACACATCCTTGTTTTGAACTCTTTTCTATTCTTACACATTTGGCAAAGTCATTTTCTCTTTTCAGATGGTTTGTTAAAGGTAAATGTTCGCGATATACCTGTAGAAAAATCTTGTTAGGCTTAGCTTGTTGATGTGAATAGATAGAAAAGACAGACAATTAATACATGAAGAGGTTAGTCAATAGACAGAAAGGCGAAGAGATGTATTGCTGAATAATTGGTCATCACATTCTATAAAAATCTGTTTCATATCACCTATTTAATATTTTCAGCAGAAAACCTCATCAAAACTTCAGACATCGTCCTTAATTGAGTCATAAAGACATTGAAAAATTGTCAATCCAGCTCTTTATTATAAGATGTAAACATTATGAAGATGTCAAGAACAAGTAGTTATGAAACAGGTTCGCTCAGAACATCGACATTACGAAAGTTTTACTGCAGCTGATTATAAATATAGTCTTTTTTACTTTCTTGTTTGGATTTGAAGCCTCAAACAAAATGCACTCAAAATAGAGAAGTATATTCACGTTGCCAAAAGATATGCCACCTAAATGAGGGCCTGTTGATTCTAGACGGAAAATACACTTTTCTGAAATATATATATACATCTCTCTCTCTCTCTCTCTATATATATATATATATATATGTATGTATGTATATAAATATAAATATAAAAGTGAATATTGAAGTCAACACTTAGAGACGAC